GAGAAGGAGAAGGAGAAGGAGAAGGAGAAGGAGAAGGAGAAGGAGAAGGAGAAGGAGAAGGAGAAGGAGAAGGAGAAGGAGGAGGAGGAGGAGGAAGAGGAGGAGGAGGAGACAACACCAACAACAGCAACAACAACAACAACAACAAGACATATATGGTAGTAATATTGTAGTAATATTGTAGTAATCCTTTACTCACTAGAATAAAGCAAGGAGGCCTCAGCCACAAGTTAAGCATGTTTCTAAGTTTTAGTTTATTGTAGAAGGAGATGCATTCATCACAGTACAGGAGTACGAGATACAAGTGAACAATTGTCTGCCTTCATATTCAAGAAAATCCAAATTCTGTTTCATTCTAATACTCTCTAATTCTCATTCAGGGCAGTAAATATGAAAGTAAGGGAACAATTCCATTGAAATTTTCTTGAAGCCTTAATCCATAAGGTCTGCATGAAATAATTGCCAACAACTGCTCCCTGTGTCTATGGTGAATCCATACTCATCATGACAATGCATTTTTGGAGCAATGTTGCTGCTGAGGAAGGAGTCATCAGGGTTCCTGAGGTTAAGGTTACTGGTGCAATCCAAGCTCCACCTGGCTCCAGGTAGTCTGACACATGTGTCAAAAAATCTGAATAGAGGCACTCTTGGCTGGACTACAGGAAGATTTAGAGATGTTTAGGGAAAGAGAGACATAGAAAAAGAGGCAAGAGGGTGAAATAGAAGAAATGGTAAGCTCTGAAGCCATGAGTTTACCTGAGATTGTTCACATATTTCTGAGTCCTTGGACCAGGAGAGAGGAATCCTACTACTGTAGGCTAACCTGGGCCTCAACAAGCCTCCCAATCCCTTTCAGGAAATGGTACCAAGGGCTGGTTTAGGGATAATGTTTGCCCATATGCTTTGTTCCAAGAGAAAAAAAAAACATCAGAACTGTTTTGGAAAATAGGCTTCACAAACACCTGTAATATGCTTGCCAGGGAGCTAACTAAGGAGTATGGAATGAGATCAACTTTGCTCACCCTAAACAGATTCTGTTTAGGATGAATCAGAAGGTCAGCATAGGTGGCCCTCTGTGACCTACATGAGACAGTCTTTTCAGCCTCCCTCCTTTTCTTCTCCCTTTCTCCTCTCTTTCTTCCCCCAGGAGTTGAAATACCTTATGAGCCCACTCCCTTCTGATCTGTGGGAAGACCACATCCCAAACTCCCCCTGGGTGCTCCTGGGAACTGCATTCCTTGGAGGAATAAGTTCCTAGAGCTCTCTTTGCCTAGCTGACTTCTAAGAGGCCAGGTTAGGCCACTGTCAGGCAAGACCAGAAAGTGTGGGTGGAGTCAGAGCTCTTATAATCAGCCAGGTTCTCACCATGATGCCAGGCTGGTTTCTCTGGGAGAAGCTCCTCCTGGGTTCAGACCATGGCTGTCCTGTTACTGGTGCTGCTACTGTGCCTCCCCATCTTTCTCCTGGGACTCCTTGTCTGGACCATCTGTAAGCATTTCCTCACCACAGATGTCCCCTCTACCTTGGAACATCCTGTCAAGTTCAGAATTCTGGATTGCGTGTTTATATATGTGATCACTTTGGTGAGTGTTCTCTCAGGCCCCACCATGAGTTGGGGG